TAACTAATCACATACAGTAGTACATAATATACACACTATATATATNTATNTAGTATATATATATATACTATATATATATATATATATATATATATATATAAGCATTTGTATACCCAAACTTGTACGATATATATATATATATATATATGTATTTATGTATATATTCTCATGCATATATACACACACACATATATATATATATATATATATTTACGCTTATATATGTATTTATATATATATATATGTATACATATATATATATGTATATATATTTATATTTATATGTATATATAATATATATTATATAATATATATATGTATATATATATATATATGCTAGAATACACATTGACAAGTTTTATATTCTAAATCCCGGCTCTTGTTAACTTCCTCGCAGGTCTACGTCCATCTTAGTAATCCGCCAATCCTGCACCAACATCCACATCCAATGTGCAGTTAGTGCTGTGTGTATAGCTCTATAACACTAGTTGGATTCAGTTTACCGCATTATCTGTGGACTGCTTCTCCAAACATACAACCATGAAGTTGAGATCGATTCTGTTCGGCGCCGGGCTGACCGCGTTGGTGAACGCACAGGTATGTCGACTGTCCAGTTCGAAGTGTATGCACGTGCGTAATTGGTACCATCATTCGTTCACCACATACACCTTTGTATAAATATCAATAGGTATTCGAGTTTCCGTTGATACGTTTTCATGCACGATTGTGCATGTCTATATCTGGTTCTGGCTTGCCATGAACCATGCCTACTACATCAACTAATCTATGCCACCAATCATATCCCCTTTACTGCTCCATATGCTACGACAGTTCCCAGTGTTTACAACTGACGCTCAGGCTGAGATACCTACAACCACCGCCGTTGTCTTCAACCCGTTTGATACCGTTGCCACAGACGCTGTCACTGATGGTGTCAACCCCTTCGTTTCAAGTATGGCGGTCTATGGGAATCTTTGAGTCGTCTAGGCAACTCGCTCGCTTGCATCCCTATCCCTAGGGTTTTAGGCTAAACCCCTATCCCTAGTATCGTGCCAAGAGTTCAACCCTGGTTCCTAAATGTTCATTGAGCTCGAGCATTTTCTTTTGCTGGCTCAATTCCTATTCCTAAACTTCACATCCGTCTGTTGTATTCACACAATATAGATGCGGTAGTTACGAGTTTAGCGACAGGTTTGGATGGAGTGGTCATCACCATTGTAGTGGACCCACTGAACCCGGACGCCACCTTACTGTCTTCAGGTGTGTTGGCCCAAACCCTGCAACCCTAAGCTTGGCAGTAATTATAGGCAAGCATCCTAGAATGTTTCTAAAATTATAATATTCATACCTACTAGTGCATTTCAATAACGCTCTCAACTTCTGTACTCTCCAGATTTGCTGCCGTCAGAATTACCAGGTTTCGAAATTACAAGAGGTATGTTGGTCTGGCCAGAAACAATACCATGAATCGTCTTGAAGGCCGCGATAACAAACATGTACAGTTAATGGAATACAGAGAAATGGTGATAAATGCATACGCATTTGTTTGCCTATCCGTATATATATATATATATATATGTACATACACATACATATATTGTGATAGAAGGTCCGACTAAGCATGTATTCTCACTTTTCGTCCGAAATACTGAATACACATTGCGCTTGGGGTTGTACACCGATCCTTGTGTTATGCTTAGCTTTGTGTTAGAAGCGACAGCACAATGTCTTTCCTGGCAGCTCTGAACGATCTGTTTTTGCATTAGGCAGAACGCATCATCTGTTGACCATAAAGTACTGCCATATAGTACGACTAAGGCAACCACGACTTCTGTTAACATATAAACACACTCAACGAAAGGCTTCTTTGACCGAATTAACGACAACAATGTATGTTTCTTTTTTCTGTCCTAGGATGCCCGGCGGGAGAGTTTTACGACGAGATTAACGACAGATGCGGTAGCTGTGCTAGGCAACACCCCGGATGTGATCTGTGTACAGCTGATCTGTGTTTCCAGTGCAATCTGCTCAACTACTTAGACTTGACTTCGAATCTATGTATACGTAAGTTTTATATGTACACAAAAAGCTGTGTGGGTATATGAACGTTGTGTACGTCTGTATGAGTCGTAAGTGTATGTGACGTGTACACAAAAGGTGTGTAGGTGTATGTGAGTCATATATTTGTATAATATGTGCACAAAAGCTGTGTAGGTGTATATGAGTCTTATATCTATAGGATATGTAGACAAAAGTTGTGTACGTCTAAGTGTGTCGTCGCACATATACATATGTACGTTGGCCTTGAATGCATAGCTCACATAGCTAGTGCCTCACTACCAGACGACGAGTTAGAGTCTATCCACGGTCGCCCATTGGTCACCATTCCGTTTGTCAAGTCACTGCACCTGTTGCACTGCTTGTTCTTTTATAACTTCCGCTTCACACTGCTCGTCGCTCGATTGCTCACGCTGCTATATTAAACACGTGTTTCCTCGCAGTTGTAAGGTTTTAGGGTTGTTCCCATCACCTGAGCTCTGTAGCTATAGCAACCGCCACTGGTTGTCCAGGGTTTTCACCGATCCCCTAACCCTAATCTCACCCACTGTGACCGTTCACCTCTGTCCACAACAGCGTGTACCGTCTACGGCCCAACGTGTTCCTTCTGCTCATCCACTCAGTGCAACACGTGTGGCAGCTTCAATTACTTCAACGCCACCGAAGGCCTGTGTGCAAGTAAGTCCCACGGCCTACCGATCGGTGTGGTAATAAGATAGTCTCAGTGCTGTAAAAAAGATACGGTTTGTAACGTTTTCAGAGCTATACATTCTGTTTGCAAAATTTCGTGGTCCGTTAAAGTCACTACACGACATGTTTTGGCCAAACGGCACCGTTTAACGTCCAGCCTAAGTTGGTCCCGAACCCAGAATTGGGTTGGTTGTTCTCAGAAACCGTTAACGCTTTGTTCGCCTATAAACCCTCTCGTTATACATTGGAGGTGTCCTAATTGATTGCTGTTTTCTTTTCGTCTTCCACAGCTTGTGAGAAACCGGACAATTGTCCGATTGAAAACGCTATATGCCGCAACTCGACCTATTCGGCTTGTAAGGCCGGTGGGTGTGATCGCGGCTTCTGGAACGATCCCCTCAAACTGTCGAGTGACTGTCAACGTAAGCAAGATATATACACACTCACATACACTCACATATATATATATATATATATATGGGAGTATAGATCTGTGCTAGTTTACTCGCCTTTCAATGGGTGTATCATACGCATACTCGATATGCCTTCTCACACCTACTACTCCTCTACACCCCCTTCACACACTAGCCTGCTCGGACCTCAATCTGGGCGAGGACTGTTCCGAGTGTTGGATTAACCCAGCCAACTCTCGCGGTGAATGTCTCGACTGTGGCATCGGAAACTTCTTTGACATCTCCACAAACTCGTCGCAGCAGTGTGTGTGCCAGTGCGCTACGTGTCCAGAGGTAAGTCAGCAAGGGCCGAGTGGGCTGGACTATAAAGAGTTGGTTGTACTGCTGTAAGGGCTGAAAATGGATATACCTATATTTGTGCGTGCAGAAAACATATGTTGGTATAGCTATATTTGTGCGTGCGAATACCCTATAAGGATATCGCTATATTTGTGTGCGTAAATACTGTATATATATATACCTGTATCCGTGCGTGTATATACTATATATATATTAATATATATTTGTGTGAGTAAATGCGTGTGATGGAATCGGTCAGATTGTCGGTTGACGATTCTGGGGCCACCTCTTTGGTTGCCAGGAGCTTGCCCTTGTTTCTCTCGGAATTATCACACCGAAACAGTAAGGACGAATGTAAAATCCAAACCAACCACACCACAACCCGAATTACCAAGGCCTTTGCACCCCACAGCCCGAAATATCAAGACTATATTCTAAACATTTTACTCTACACCTTTCGCACCCCACAACCCGAATTACCACGGCCTTATTCGATACATTTTATTCTACGTCTTTTGCACCCCAGGCACCCGGATGCAACAACGGGTCGCAGATATGTGGATACACGGAGTCACAATTAGGGACCACAATATTCCAGCGGTTGGAATCGACCTGTCTGGCCGGACAGTGTCAGAAGTTCTTCCTAAATGAACTGAACACCTTCAACAGCACCTGTAACCGTAAGTCTCATGACTGCTGTTAATTGCAGGGGCTGTGTGGGTTGGGGGGGGGGGGGGGTTAGCATCGGTGTTGTGCAAGAATGTTCATGCATTCAAATTTGGTAGCAGACCAATGCTACTTCTATATATATATATATTCTGTCTAATGCCGATTATGTTCACCTTCCTGCCCCGCTCTCTCTAGTCACGCAAGTGCTGCTGGAAACCGATCTGCTACCCAACCAGTTTACGCTGGATGAACTGATTTTGTTCGAAGACAATCTCCAGCGATATTTCTTCCCGCCAGGCACAGCCGCCAATACGCGCGCAACGTATCCGTACGACTGCTATCCGGTCAAGGTACTATTTATATGACTTTGGGTGAAGGAAACACTCATATATCTATTACTAGTATGGTGGTGTTTTCTGGTCAACGTACCATTTATATGACTATGACTAAAGAAAACACTCATATATCTAATACATGTATAGTTTTGGTTTCCTGTCAAGTTTGTATTCATGTACCTATCACTGGTACGACTGCGATACTCGTTTTGGTTTTTCTTCCTGGAACAATGTATGTCTAACAAGCACTAAATTTGGGTTGCTGTGAGCTAATCTTCAAAATGGAGGTCTCTCTGAGTACGCACACATACATATCCCACTTCACACGTCTCATAGCACAACCCACTTTGCATGCCCCATAATCTACACAAGACACACTCTCCAACGTACATACACACATATATATCCCACTTCACACGAACACTCTCCCTGCGTAATCTCGGCATCCACCTACCACAGATTGCACCAGATCCGATGCGTGACAACCACCTGGACATAGCTATCACGTGTGGCAACGTAGCCAATCTACAAGCCATTGTCAACAACCTCACGGCCAGCATTGTCAGCGATCCCTTTGCGATGCCTATGTGTATGATAGGTACGTACGCAAACACTGCCTCACAGTAAAATTTAATGTATGTATATAATATAAATGTAATATATATATATATAAATGTTCATACATACAATTCGAAATACCTGACCACCGCGTGCATCACGTATCATGATCACAGCTTTCCATCCCGTATATGTCAGTGTGTTTGTACTGGGCGCTGTCCTGATATAGTGTCCTCTCCATTTAAGTTACTACCACTCTATTCGTGCTATATCTAGCGCATTGAGAGAACATTGCTTATATATTTGTATATGGCATACCTTGCATCAGTGTGTTTGTAATGAGTACTCTCTTGATTAACGTTCCTCCACTTAATTTCCGCAGCGTAGCATTGTATTGTCCACCGCCTATGCAGATCACAAAACCCAAACCACCAAAACGTTTCATTTAATTGTTATACGGTCATGGTTTAGTGTGCACACAATTCGGAGCTTTGCATCTCATAAGCCTATGGCTTGCCCAGGGATTTTTTTTAATGAGAGCCCCACGCACCTTAGTGATCGTAAATAGGAGTCCCGTCTCCGATTATCCCGACTTTTGAGTCGGTCTCATGTTGGGTTTTACTTTTTCGGCTTTTAGCCTTTTGATCCTTCTATATATAGATATGTATATATATATATATATATGTATATATACTCCTTCGGCTTTTAGGTCAGTCCCTCGTCCACTCGAGTATTTAGTCATAAAATTGTTCAGTGTTATTTCTTGATTTTCTAATGTATACGTATCTTTGCTTTGCCTCCCATTACATTTACATTTGGCAGAGTGCTTCTATTCGGTACAATTACCGTCACAGTATAGGCCGTATGGTTTCTATGAGCGACGGCTGTGCTTCAATTGTGATCCGATCGCCAACTGCGAATACCCTGGTAAGTGCCAATCCTGATTTTGAAACAAAACAACAATATTTTCCAAAATGCAAAATATAAATATATGAGGAAGGGTCTATAATCGGCAAGCCCTTTTGTTTTAGTTTGTGTATGGGGAGCGAAGAAGGAGGAGTGGGAGGCAGAAAAGCTCTATGAGCTCAATTCTTGTAGCAGGTTTAGTTCATGCGCTTTGATGTCCGATAAATACAAAGTACAGTGGTATTAGTATGAAAAGTAATGGTCAATGAGATGTTTGGCTGATCAGTGACCTGTGCCCATTCATCCGCATGTGCTGTTGCTGCATTAGGCTATTGCGATGGAGACCGTCGGCGGTCCAGTTGTGATCAATGCGAAGGTTCGTATTACAAACAGATTGAGTGGCCGCCATATGCCGATCGATGTTTAGAATGCACTCGAGCCGAAGGTTGTTCCTTGGAGAATACCAGGTATGTATGTATGTCTGTGCCAAGACTGCGTCATAGTTAACACCGGGTGTGTATGCATGTCTGTGCTACGGCTGGTCCATAGTTAATATCAGGTATATATGTATGTCTGTGCCAAGGCTGTTTTATAGTTAATATCAGGTATATATACATATCTATGCCAAGGCTGTTTCATAACTAATATCAGGTATGCACGTTTTTCCGTACGTGTCAATGGGTATGGATAAGAGTGCATACATGTTAATAAGTGTCCTCGAGCTTTTGGTGTCCTGGCCCCGGTAGAGTGGTCGTCGAAGTAGACCCCGGTATCAGGCACGGTCCCAATTTACACTAACAGGTGCACAAAACGGGACAACTAATGAATACGCAAAAGGGACGCCATAGTACATACCGTCCGCCGCATAGACTGGCGTCCCTTTTGTCCAAACCTATCGGTGAGATACACAAACGGGGCAAGCTGTACCTTCATGGCACAGGGACCCGCAACCCAAAGCTACAACCCTCCGTGTTATAATCCTCTTTTCTAGCTTACTCACTCCAGCAATCAGTATGCATGGAACGGCAATCAGAACGGATTTCAGAAAAACGTTGCGATCCAGGAACGTTCTCTAAGTATATCTCATATGTTTAATCGAGTCTTTCTCCATTTGCGTTAACAGATGTGTGAACGACACAGTCAGCTTCTGCTTAACGGGGTTTTGCAACGATGGGTTTTATCAGGACAATTCTGTGGCCCAGCTGACCATTGGACAGGCCGGAGTGGGACGGGGAATCGAACAAGTTGGAATTGTATGTGTAGATATAGATTTGTACCAATATTGTGCACCTGTGCTCTAAAAGACACTTAAAACCCTGAACCCTAAATAGCGCTATGCCCTGACACTCACCGCACTTACCGGTTGGTGGTGTTGATTATTCATCCCCTGGGTCCTTTCTATCTAACCCCTCTCGTCTATACATACCCTGCACCCTCGCAGTACACCCACTGTATCTATCTACCTATCTCCCGTGCTTGTCTGCTCTACACCATGAACCATCTCCGGAAACTCACTGCATCTATCTATCTACAGTGCATCGACTGTCCCGATCAACCCGGGTGCAGGCCTGGCAACACCAAGTGCAATGACCTGACAGCCGGAGCCACACAGACACTCCTCTGCGCCACGGGCGAGTGCGAGAAAGACCTCGGCTACTACAACAACGAAACAAGCTGCGCTGGCGGTAGGTGGTACATGGGGTGTGAGGTAGAGCAGGGTACACGTGGGATGGGCATGTGTGTGGATGTAGTGGGATAGAGGAGATGATCAGAGGGTGAGTGTATGTAGTTGATGGGTGAGTGTATGTATGTAGTGTGATAAACGTGTGTATGTAGGTAGTGTGTATTAGTCATACGAGAATGATGAGATGAGGTGTGGGTTTAAGGTCTAGGGCTTTGTTCTTGGGTGCAGTATTCGTATTGGAGTTGGATGTACGTGGTCGATTTTGTGTGCTGTGGGGTTCAGCCAGGTGAGAAAAGTCTGCTTGTTGAATGGAATGAGGGATGGGTTGGTGTCCAATATATATATATATATAATGTGCGTCGGGGTTCTGGGCTATGCAACAATGTGCTCGATTTATACATGTCTTAGCTCATACCAGCATAGTTACAGTACAGCATCGAAGCCCCATGCTAATCTACAATGGCGTACACCCAGGCTTCATCCGTGCAGACCCAAATGGAGTGTGTGTGTATCTCCCCGTGCATATCCTGCATTGCTACCATTCTCACACCAGAGGCGTACATAGTCAATAGTAGTACAGAACGGCACGCATGGTCTGTAGGTATTGCGCATGTGCCTGAACTCAGCCCGCCTAAACGTTTTGAATTCCTCTACAGACTATTCGGCGTGTAAGTTGGCGGATATGACGTATGAGCTGTGCTTCCCCGAAGAAGATTACGATGACGAATTTGAGTACTACTTCTTGCAAGAATTGGCGGATTTCGGCGCCCTAGTCGGCGTTCCGGTAAGTTCTTAGCACACCTTTTCAACACACATATATATAATACTTAACCATATATATATATATATATACATATACACATATATATGTATATGTATCTGTATATATACATATATATATATATCGTTAACATGTTGAGATATGTATCGAATCTCTACTCTATTTGTATGTAGGGGGTCCAACCGTATGAGTATCCTTGGCCCTTCTATGTACTTGGCATCAGAACCAACGAGACCTCCGGCAATGTCTTGGTGGATGTGAACTTCACAACCGACGCAGCAGCCTCGTCAATGATTACCAATACATTGGTAAGTCTCCCACATGCATGTATAAACGTGTTTGGATGTTTGTGTTACGTATGGACTGATCCGGCATCACTCAGCCCTTAGCGTTGCATGTTGTCCTTATCTTATAGTCCGTCCGTATATCTACATCTATCGATGCGAGTGTTGTTTTATGAGTACGTACTTACTAAGTACGATAGTTCCTTCAACGACTGCCTTTGTATAGGCGTGGAATTAGCACAAAGTCTCATAAGTGACCGGTATGAAGACCCTCTCGGGTGACCTATTGGCTTCGTACGGAATGTTCAGTTGTGCTTCTTTGGCGTATGGTCACTCTTATGTGATTCCATGCAGGTGACTGACTAAGGGCAGTTTAGGGTTTATCGTTCTGTTTTTTGATATGTTTGCATGTCTCAGGAAGCCTCTGGGGGTTTAGTTGTTGCATGCTTTTACCCCGATGATTTATCTCTCCAATCTTCTTCTCCATCATACAAAGGTCACATAGTTTCGAATACTAACCACACCCATTCGTTCCTAAACCCAAACCCCAAACCATACCCAAATTTCTCTGCCAGGCGGCGGCTTTGGGCGATGCAAACGTAAACGGAAACATCCGCGCACAGACGGATCAGTTGGCCGAGCTAGGAGTGCAGTGTGTAGTGCGTCTGTTAAACGCCAACTCCACACTTCTAACCGGACAGTCCAACTACCAGGGGCGCGAAATCCAGTCCCGTCCTATTTGTCTGCGTATGTTATTGGGTTTTAGGGGTTTGTAACCCAACCCCTGGGTGTGTTGGGGTTGCCTGTCGCCTGCAGATGAACGCATACGTATATAGTTCAGTAGTTTTGAAGAAGTCGGATATTTGTGTGCGTTTATGCAGAATTCTATCGTAAAGCAGATGGACACTCCAGGATACGACACACACGAGTGACACAATTCATAGTAGTTCTGAGCGCTTTGAGTTTACATGTACGACTATATAGATATGGATATAACGTATGCACATACATCTGTTCTTGGTGTAGCTCTAATCTTAACACTTCGAGGTAGAAGTCTCGCATCAAGGACTCTAATATCAAAAATCCTAATCTATAAAGTTTACATACATACGTACATTCATTGAATATGTGATTCCGTACACATCCTCTTTCAGACACTCCTCACACCTTCGTCGTTTATGTGCGTCAAACCCATACGCCACTCTAGAGAGCGTATGACCACGCGTTAGTTTCACACACATGTCCTATTTATATATATATACAACACACCTATATCATAAACATATTTATGCTTCACTCACAAATGCCACATATATATATTGTATTATATATATATACGTATACATATATATATATATACGTATACATATATATATATATATATACGTATACATATATATATATATATATACGTATACATATATATATATATATATACGTATACATATATATATATATTTCACACATGTCATATTTATATATATATACATAACTCACAAATTATACATATCTTAACATGTCGTTGTCTGTTCTCCCGAACCCAGAATGCCACACCATCGATAACTGTATCGTCGAGCCCGAGTGCCCCAACTGTCCCATCCGCTCGAGGTGCCCTACGTGTCAACAAGGATACTACAATAATCGCTCTACATCTGTGTTTACGCCTGACACGTGTGAGAAGTGTATAGATGCGCGTAACTGTACTGATGGCTACACCACCTGCGTCAGTAGTAACTCACCCGAGTGCTTGGCTGGTATGTGAGTGGGTTGGATGGATCCCTTTACATCACACATCGGATGGGCTGATGTGTTTGTGCGTGCATGCACACCCGCTCGTGGTCGTGTTGGGTTGGACAGATGTGTATAGCGTTGGTGACAAGAGCTGGTCGCAGTATGAAAAGAATCAGAGAAGCTACCCGAATAATTCCAAATTTTTCTGAATTCTCGCCTAATCTTGCTGAAATTTGGCTCCAAATCAGGTCGTTGTGAATCTGGTTACTGGAACAACCCTGGCCCGCCTCCACTTGACTGTGGATTCCAGGACGCTTACAAATGCTGGAGTGAGAAAGCCATTATCGAATTAGCTCAGAATTCATCTGTAAGTCACATGTCTCCTGCCTAATCCGCATGTCATATATCTGCACCAGTTGTGTTTCTTATGTACTTTTCTTATTCCCTTGGTCCCAATTTTGACTGTTCGCTGTCAAATTTGGGCCCAACCCCAAAACAATCGGGAAGCACTCTGTACCCCTGTTATTCCACGTTTAGTTCTGAATCAGGTCAGCAGTGAAATACGTTCAAATCCTGGATGTCCACGGGTTTTAGGGTTTTCGTGCTATTTTTTTACCCTGGTTTCACTGTCGCTTATACACCCCTACGTACAGCAAGTGTCATCGGACTATTCGCTGTGGTGGATCGCTGAGTATGGCATTGACTTTGTGCGGCCGTTCTACTACTGTCCGTTCCAGGTGAGTGCGTCTGACGACCTAACCTCCCGTGCATACTTCCATGTAAAACATGTGCACCTCAATACATATATAAATCACAGTATATGGATCGGCCATTCATATTCATGTCCACAGTCACAGTACACAGTCGGTGCACGCATTCGGATGGTATAACTACTGACGAACAACGAGTGCGTGCCTATTTGGGTGTGAATGATATAAGCTACCCATATCCTGTACGCACGTGTATGTCCCCTCAACTACCTAAACCCCCTCCCCTCCCCCGCGCGCAACAATTAATCTCGAGATTTCTTTAGGGGTTCAAGGTTTTTTATTCTGCTGGCTAGCTCCTACTATGGTTTCAGGGTATTTATTTATTCCGCTGTGTACTTATTTTAGCAACTCCTACTATTCCCGCGTACATAAATCAGGGTAACTGTGAGGTAGCGCTCTGGAATGTGGAAGAGGAGAAGCATGCAGGCTATATAACTGTGCCCAGTGAACAGGTGGCGTACTGGAACTACTGGCTGCCCGGATGGTCTGAGAATATCACCGATTTTCAGTACTGGAGACCTACAGAGTATGTGTGTGGTTGTACTTAGTGCTACTTGTGGATAGGTATATACAAGGTGCATGCCTACGCGCATAGGGCAAATAAGTCTATAATTTATCATGTCTATATATAGTCATCTATCATAAGTCTATATAAAGTCATCTATCATATAAGTCTATAAATAGTCATCTAGTATATAAATTCGTATATAGTCATCTATCATAAGTCTATATAAAGTCATCTATCATATAAGTCTATAAATAGTCATCTAGTATATAAATTCGTATATAGTCATCTAGCACATAAGTCTATATATAGTCATCTAGTATATAAATGCATATATTGTCATCTATCATAGAAGTCTATATATAGTCATCTAGCATATGTCTATTTATAGTCATCTAGCATATGTCTATTTATAGTCATCTAGCATATGTCTATTTATAGTCATCTAGTATATAAATACATATTATTGTCGACTGTCTGGTAGATGTCAAAACAACACCAACTTCCGATACTAAAGGCCTACAGATTCAATTTATGTGTAGGTATATGCTGTAAGGTGAAAGTACATGAAGACAGGGCACATGCACTCATATATGTGTGAGAACACAGAAAAATAGTGTACATTAAGCAACGAGTTTGGAAGATCTTCCATCCTGTCATGTACGCCTCAGCTGATCCATATTGTCATAAATCCACACAGAAACCAGAATGCTCATACCTTGGCAGTTCCGTCTTATAGTCGGGCGTGACACTTAATTGTTGTAATATCCTTTCTCCATACTTACGATGTTCAGCTTCAGCTATCACAACGTATTACCTGCATATTACATGTCTGCTTGCACTGCATGGAGTTTCTTCTCAATTCTCTGGTTACAAAGTACCTACCTACTTATAAGAACCTTACCGTATTATATAGCTTCTCTCTTTATTACACATTCATCTACATATATTGTGCCTCTCTGGTTATAAAGTACTTACATACTAATAAATATACTTACCTACTTATAACCTCTCTGCCACAGCCGTGATCAAATCAAGTACTACCAGGACAACTACGAGACTCTGATTAGAATCTACGGTAACTCCTTCGGCCAGTGCATGCACACTGAACCCACATGGGCATCGCCATGTAAACGTATGTATTTATTAGTTTGTTGTGATATCTGCGAGAATGTCCAGTTCTTGTTGTTTGAGACGCGCAAACGTACGTGTTTTGAAAAAATGTATATATATATAATAGTTTGCTTTGATATATTTGGGATGTGCAAACGTATGTCTTACAAGTCCCAATTGGATCTATGCTAATTTGTTGTGATATCTGTAGAACTGTTGTGTCCGTGTTGTTTGGGCAGTGTAAATGTATGTCGTAACGTCTTTGGGTTTGGGGTTGTTCATATGTACGCTATCCAGCGATACTGATTTGTGCGTATACACAGTTGGGCCGGGTGAATGTATGTTGCTGTAGTCACCGAATGCTCATGTGTTTATGTGATATGGATATGGAATAGGGTTTTGCGGGATTTCTAGGCCGCACGCCCCACATGTCCTAGATTTGTTTGCCTTGTGTTCAGCTGGTTCCTGCATATTTTCTGGACCGGGTATGTTTTAAAGTTTTAGGGTTTTAGGGTCATGCATAACATCTGGACCGGGTATAATTGGTCTTGCACTGGCCATCCACACTCACGATCGCTTTAGTATACCTACTCACACTGCTTAACTTTATACTACAACTGACATGCCATATAGGCTGGACGGAATGTGACGCTTTCACTGAATTCCCACTCAACGCGCCGACGAACATTGAGGACCGCATTTGCTTAAACTGTCGCCAGGTGAATTGGGTCTTGTATTATGTGCACTTTGATAAATTATTGTTCTGTTTCAAATCTCATTGGAAAGTGTAGAACCAATTACTTCCTGGTTCGCTTCGTATTTCATTCATATATATATATATATATATGTGTGTGTGTCTTTGTCTTTGTCTTTGTCTTTGTCTTTGTAGCCTTCCTGGTCTACTTCGTATTCATACCTTCTTGATTCGCTTCCGTACCAACTATAGGCTAATGAGACTATGTGTGGCTCACCGGACCGGTCAGTATATGCGGGTTGCCTGGATTACTACTGGGATGGCACCCAGTGCACACATTGCAGCAATGCAGGCGCAGACTCCTGCGGGTGCGGCCTTGGGGCAATTACTGACCCTGACGCATGTGGTACACAAGGATCTGAGAGTTCTGTCAGGTATGTTCCATGCTATCTATATATATATATATATATATATATATGAATACATGTCACTTGATTTTATATGTGCTAACCTACCACTAAAACACAATCGTTTTTACGCTGCAGTTGTTTCAATTGGTACTTCAACACGGACCTCGGTACCAAGCCTTATCTGGACTATGTAGACGATGGCAACTCAACCGTTAACAACACTGAGATTATTCAAGACGGCTTCTGTTGTCGTTGCGAGCCAGTGGGTACGTGTTTTGGCTACATAAAAATTACTTTTTGCAGATATCTTGCTTTGTATCCCTGATCACACATGTTTTTGCATCTCAGAAGTAAACCTGCAACAGATGTATTTGTTTGAATCTAATAGCACCCATCGGTCGATTGACCCATACTAGACTTTTTCTCGCATTTACTTATTTGTTCACGTCGTCATATCAAGTCCCTTGCACTCGCAACCCGTGTGAGTAGCGCTGGGGTTGCTTTTAACCTCACCGCTCAGTCAGCATTTCATCCACGCCGCTTCTACGTACAGACTATTGCCAACCGGGCATGAGTGTGTGTGTCAGTGCTACGAGTAAAGGATGTCTGTCTGGATTCTGCACTGAGTCCAATGTCGAGACCAGCAGCTCAGAATGGCCTGGGGTGCAGTGTTCAAGTAAGTACTCGCGTGTGTAGAGATGTCTACATGAGTTTTGTGTAGAAATGTCTACATGAGTTTTGTGTAGAAATGTCTACATGAGTTTTGTGTAGAAATGTCTACATGAGTTTTGTGTAGAAATGTCTACATGAGTTTTGGGTAGAGATGTCTGCCTGAGATATATATTATTTATATATATATATATATACATGTTTTGGATGAGCACTCACACATTGCACACACAGGGTATTCCGCCTTAGTTTATATGTGTTTACCATTTATGGCATGTTTATCCTACCGGTGCTCGTATTGTACGCCTTAATTCTTACAAAATCACACCGGGTTCCCAGGATAATCGCTATCCATGGTACAATTCCATACAGTGTGATCTAGTCCAGAAATTCACTCCTCGGCTCTGAAATAAGACTGCGATTTGGCCCGGATCTTAATAGTTGTAATCGTGACTAATTCGCGCCGCAGAGGTTTCACACTAGCTTATTCCGTCTCTGTCTTCTCCTTCAACAGATCAAAACTGCGAGGACGCAGGAGTTGTCTGTGCCAACGATCAAGAATATACCCCATACCAGGTTTGGTTTCACTTACTGCTTTCTACGCACTAGATCGATAAGCAAAGATATCAAAACAATGTACAAGTGTATGTGTATAAATGTACAAGTGCACGTGTATGAATGTATAAATGTATGTGTATGAATGTGCAAGGGGGGGGGTTTAAGTGTACGTGTATAAATGTACTGTGGAATAACTTCTAGTCTGTATACTCAGTGCGGCCATTGATGCAGTAAAGCAACGCTAGAATCTCTACCGTCTGGAGTGGCACATCGGCAACAGTAAGCGTATAAAAACTAGCATAGTCATACTGGCATTTTGTGTGCGAACACTACTCAAAAGTGCGCCTTCATTTCCTTTCACCAGGTCATCTATACCTTCGCGGATTCAGAGTCGGGTGCATGTTGCATTGATCAGCCCGTGCTCACCCCAGCACCAACTCCTCTCTCGTATGGAACAGCAGTTTAAACGTGCAATACACCATTGAGGTTATATCTATATACGTATATATATATATATATATATTACTAGCAGCGAGGCTCTTGTGGTGCGTCGTGGGAAACGGTACAGCATACGTCGTACGTGGAAAGTGAAAGTGAAATATTCAGTGGTCGACACTGATCATCGGCCGATGTCCCTGACGAAAGCTATGGGTTTCACCATTTTGTTAACACTGAAATAATGTCAGCACTCTTTAGCTTCGCTGCTCAAAGGCAGTGAGAAAGCTTGCGTCTGTTTGGATGGCGCGCAGAATAACAATATGAAGTATAGAAGTATATGAAACTATATATGGTCGGGAAATGACAGGACACAAATGAAGTGCCTAAGACCGTGGCCAATACAAATGGACAGGATTGTCCGGAGAAAGCCAACGTTTTTGCAGAGCAAGTAATGATACGAGAAATACTGAAGTGAAAACAACAATTTTGAATAAATATGAATTTGTAACGATAACGGGGTATATGAAACCGTGGCTTAAGTTTAAGGTTTTTCATCACAGCGAATGTATTCATACAAGTGCACCATTCTTTTATAAAATTGACTTGCTACCTGATACCACTACTATCCGTTTTTAGAAAATTGAACGTCTATGAAGTCGCTCCAGGAGGGTCACCAGCATGACTCAATCATCTAATAGGCGGCCCTAGTAGAACGCTCGGCGAGTTCAATGCTCAGACAGGCATTGTCGTACTAAATAATAACTTTATAGATGTTAAGTTGTTTTGTACATAGTCTTTCCGGGCCTGCTTTCCTTTTGTAAAACACCACACAACCAAGCGCTGTAGAAGCAAAATATAACGTATGCCCTAGCTTCAATAGGTGTGTGTAGCCCAGAATATGTCGTTACCACGATGTGAAGAGGCACAGGTACGCGAAGTACACATAGCCATGAAGGACGAAAACACAGTCGATAGATTAATCATAATATTCAACTTACATGGTCACATCGTCGGTATGGTTGCGTTGTCTTATCATATCACATCGATTTCCAACTCCACTCGTAAACGCTTCGTACGCTAGAAGTAAAAGTATACCAACAATCTGGGGGGTATAAATTGTTTACAACCTTAGCCTTGTCTATTTAGAAATGTATGTTTTTAATACAACAACATAAAAAAATACATATTGGATTTTTCCGTAGCGTAGATTTATGTAAAATATACTTATTTATTAGTAAATATTGTAAATACGTAAATACATAGTACATATTATGTACTAAAAAATAGTGTTATTCTGTTTTTAAAAAAGGCCTCTTGGTATTTAGCATATTGGTATTTACATAAATATATGTTATTTTGTGTACATTTTGTGAACAAATATAAGAACAAAACAAAACTATACAGTAAAACGTTTAAAACGTTAATAAATATTATAGCCTTCTGTGTTTCAGTTTAGAAGAAGGCTATGCTTCTCAAAATTAAAAATGTAAAAAATGTATATTGTTCTATTTTCAAGGCTATGAAAAAATAGAATGCGTTTCTATTTTGTAGGTTGTTTGTTAAAAAAAACATACCGTTTATTCTATTTCTAATATTTACACAAGAGTAGTAGTATATTTTTACTTTCAGGCTGGACCTAGATCTTCAACTTATCTACTAGCGGTAAATATTGTTCTTATTTTCGTTGGAGCAGTTCGTCTTTCATCTACATACGTTAAACCTTTGTTCAACGTTTTAAACTGCACGTGTGGGGCCACTGGTGGGTGCCGAATCCGATGACGACGTTTGGATGTTTTGAAAGAAACTGTAAAACAAAACAAAAACTAAATAAACGGCTCACAATTTCACACCCACAGTCACAAGTAAACTTCGAGCCGCATAGTTTATTTATAGAAATAAAGAGACAACCCAAATTATATATAAAATGATGACCGAAATCCATAAAATCTTTCCTGGAGACGCGGTTTACACTGACCGTTTATCCAATGATTGTGAAGTGGTTTTGATTTTACGCCAATAGAATGATATAAGTTATACAGTTCAATATGCACCAATCACAATTGGATCTAACAATAGCCAAAATGTTACTTGGTAGAAATCTGCTTCTACACTTTTTAGTAGATCCGAGTGAACCGTTCCCAATTCGACGACATTATTAGGCGTTTAGACACGCCTATTTGGAAATGCTTCTCATAGCTTATGTCAGTGTGCTCGATGCGAGTGCTACAGTTCATATACGAGTGATATGGAAGGTTACACACTCACAGTTGAGGCAACTAGATAGGAAACGCCTACTTCTACACTCTAGGTCTGTGTTTGAAGATCACATTCGCATCAGCAACGTAGTTTTTGCTTCTCATAAATTTCACTGGTGTACTATAGTCTTCTGAGGGCATATCGATAGCTTGATTCACTCTTTTATCTCCAAGTATTACGTGAAATAGTATCCAAAATGCAAAGTAGTATACTTTTGTGCCTGGCGGCCCTTTCTGGCTGTGCTAATGCACAATATGTACTGCAAGCGCTCTATCTCAACTTCATGGATACCACTGTTCAAGAAACCAATGGACTGTGTGTTTCGGGTCAACAAAGTAAGTATTTGTGCCTGCGACTATTCAGATATATTCTTTGCGATATAAGTGTCGACAATGAAGCCACTGTGCACTTTAACGAAGAGATTAGATGTTTGTCAACGTATGTCTGCTTACGTCTATATCTCATCCAGCCTTGGCACTGAGATTGGTGCATGCGTTTATATGTCTTCAATTCTGGGTGACAGATTGAATGAAGTTCAGTTATGTCTGTGGCTGTATCTATCTTCGACTCATTTCTAAGTCTCGCTAGGATCAGGTTCGACCATTCGCACTGTATGAAACGACGCATACTGGGCATCCTGTGGCCAAGTAGTTTGCTACCTGCACGTTCGTAGGTGTATTTTTATTTATAGACTCACACAAATCATGGCTACATGGCCATCCCGCCGTTAGTTTTGTCGATTATACAACTTACCTTGCGCAGTTTAGTAAAGTACACCATAAAGTTATATTCAATTGCTAAATACGATTCTGTCTCCCTCCTCTCACAGGTAGCAATCAAATTCTATACACCACCTGCGGCAGCTTTGTAAGTTACTTGTCAAGTTTCACGTTCAGCTTGGTCGTGTTTTTATCTATTTCAGATCGTGGCTTTTCTTCTTTAGAGTTTGTGATGGCCTGTTCGCCTGTGTTCATCGGTTGGTTGCTAAGTCAGAAAGATCTTGACTCGAAAGGATATATTACAATGTTTTCCGTGTGTTTTGTCATCGCGCTAAATGGTTCTCGCGTAGTTAGTGTTATTACATGCAAAGTTGTATGTGCACGCACATTTATACATGTACGTATAAATGCATTTTAGAAAACAATACAGGCAAACTCAATACATATGTCAGAGTAGCATCTCCTCGGATACATGTTCATTTTTAGTTATACAAATTTCTTCTCGCTTGACTGATGCTACATTGACGCAAAAATGTCGGGAGTCGTCTCAGCACAATTGCTGATGTGTGTTCTGGCTTCAATATACGTTGTGGCAACAAGAATTTTCGTGATATGCGTGTACTTCATTGCCTGCATTCTGCATGCCTATATCATCAAGCAGTGTTTTGACATAGAAATGTGTATAAACCTTTTACCTACTGTTTTGTTCTCTCTCTCTCCCGAAACCCGAAACAGGCCTCGGATTATAACTACGCGGAATTTAGTTTTGGACAAGCGCTGCTAGTCAGTCGAGTCGAGGGGTCGTGTCTCACTTTTCCAACGAGTATTGAGCCTGACAATATCACGGACCCGAACGCGATGATTCTGGCACCGTGTTCGATCACCAATACCTTGCAGCGCTTCGGTTACAATAGTGCCTTGACACCTGTCACTAACCCGGCGTCGTTTCCACAGCTAGTGAGCTCGGCCTATTTCATTAGTAAGTTGGTGTGAATTATGTCTTGGTATCTTGGCACTTGTCCGTCAGTGAGTGAGTTCGAATACGTACCTCGGCTCTTGTTCCTAATCGAGTGTCTTACCTACCGGGATTTGTGTAGCATGTGTGAAAAAGCGCTGGGGGAGTCCCAATAAGTATTTAAAACAATCTGGTTCATCGATGGAGCAGCTTGCACGTGCGCACGCACACTATTATTCTCGATCACAAGGAACCTGCCCATCTCAGATTTCACGAACACGTGATTTTATACCAATATCGCTTATTTTTCGGATGAAAGTATACTTCAGTATCACATACTACCCCCCCCCCCCCCCGCCCAATTGACCGGTAGCTTTGTACGACCTTTGCACTGGTAGACCTCCGTCCCGTACTACCTGAACTCCGATAATAACAATACATCCCTATGTTGCACCCTTTCTGCAGATGGAATACTCACACCAGTTTGCGTCCGCCCGTGTCTCGCGACAACGACTCGCACATGTGCGTACAGCGCCGCCTACATCGTAACCAATGGTCTGGGCCAGTGCAGTTTCTCGCAGGGTTCCACCCCCATCAACTCGGCTATTACCGCGGTCAATAACGGTATCATACCGGGATTTGGTACCACCACCTCTACCACGAGTTACCTGGCCACGGTGGTCACGGGGACTGTCGCGCCGAGTACCAATTTTATCGTCGACGTGTCGACGCTATTCGTGGCCACAACCACTCAATTCGGCGGGGCCGTGTTCGTCACCTCCACATCTACTAATCAGCAGGTGTTTACCGAGGCCACGGCAACTACCGATGATTTCACGGAGACGCAAACGGTCTCTGCGATTGTCTTTGAGAACACCACCTTGTTCTTTGCCAACGGTGTACAGACCACGCCCGTGGAAGGAGGAGGTCCCTTTGCTACGGGTGTGTTTCCTACCACAGACGTGGTTAACCCATTCCCTGTCGTCACGACCACGTCTCAGTTTAATCCCTTTGGCCCTGTGGCCACCACCACATCAGCGTTCAATCCGTTTGCGACTGCCACCAGTGCGTTCAACCCATTCGCCACCACATCGATGTTCAATCCGTTTGCTACGAGCTCGGTGTTCAATCCGTTTGCTACGAGCTCGGTGTTCAATCCGTTCGCACGCAGTAGACCCACACCCGCGCCTCAGCCGAGCATGAACACCGACGCCGCCGACGGGGGTGTAGGTGTGTTTTATAAACAGGCCAATGAGATGATGCGTCAGGAGGAGATGGAGCGCAACCGCTTTGTGGAGGCAGAGGACGACATGGCGTATCCTGAGGAGAATGCCTACCCGGAGAGCTCGGCTGAGGCAGTGAATACATCACATGAGAGCCAGTTCGCCGGAACTACGACTGGGCTTAGTACCAGCGCTATTGTGGCCATTTTGGTTTCGAGTTCGGTGCTGTTGTTGCTGTGCGTTTGCTCTATGGCGGCCATTGGATACAACTGGTACCAGAAGCGTAAGAATCGTGCGAACAAGAGTGTGGGTGATTGGGATGGTGAAAGTGTCACGTCAGATATCGAGACTGTAAGTATGCCACCTTCGGCTATGTACAGCAGCAAGAAGGGCAGTTTGTCCGTCAACGATGGAGAAAGCGACCTGACGATTCCCGGGAGTTTTGTGGTTTGAGGTGTATATATATATGTATATATATATACTCGTACAAAAGTTATCGCTTGTATGTGTACGCATGTATATATACAGGACAATACTAAGCTGGGTGGAGGGGTTCAATGGAGCCCATGATTGTATCAGAGTTCCCCCATTTTAAGCAAGCGGAGATTTGTATCGGGAGAGATAGTGTATCGTTATCTTGCAGAGCTATATTGTCACGAGGTGGGGATATCACCACATGTGCATCAGAAGCTGGATACCGATTGATTCGATACCGAAAGTAAAGTAAGACAGATGGAGGAAAATTAGGGGAGATATAAATGTATGCGACCGCGAAATATGCTTGTGTCGCATATATGAGCTGCCGGTTGTACTTAGGGTAGCAATCCAACATTGTAATCAGGTTGGCCTTCGAATAATTAAAAGTGTACTATAGTTTTTATTGTATTTAAGGCAATAGTATCTAAGAAAATTTACAACACCACCGTGTGCCCATTGGTATTAGACTACACGTATTGAAAGCACAGATGTAGTTGCAAACGGATGTAAACAGGATACTTGCTTTTTGAACTTGTTTGAATCAAAATGTAGCAAGTGCCATTGAAGGTGACTACCGACAACGATGGGATACGTGTGCTTGCACCCACATGGCACACTCAAAAGCTGCCATGTTTATGTGAAAACTACGGGCTTCATTGAAACTGCCCATCACCAGCTGAGGATAGACGAGGCAGCACCACATGATAGTTACATTCTGATTGTAATGGATTTTATTTGAAATTGTAAACGTTCAACACTGAGTAAGGCATTGTACATTGTGTACTAGAATAGGTAAACATTTCGTTACTTCTGCGTGCATTCGATTCTGCGTATTCAATCACTTGAGTTCGTTTAAAAAATAGTACGCACTTTGTCCTACATATATATTTATATATATATATATATAAACATAATCATGTATATACTCATAAATATATGTGTATGTATATATAT